ACACACACACACACATACACACACACTCACACACACACTTATAGAGAGAGACACAGAGACACAGAGACACACATACATACACACACACACACACACACACACACACACACACACACAGATAGAGAGAGAGAGAGAAAGAAAGAGAACATACATACATATGCACACACGCATACATGGACTGTGTGAAGAAGGCACGAGAGTTTTCACATTGTGCTTTGAAGATGAATGCAGATTGCCCCTCATAATAAAACGATATCCTAATAATATGTTACAGGGTCTGAAAAAGGCTTTTAATTATTTTTTTCTTTTGCATGCGGTAAAACATCACAAACAGCCTGTAGGTCACCATGAGCGCTTGAGATTTACTAACCAAAGGTAATGTTGCAGCTCATTTCAAAGCGTCACACACAAATCCGAAACACGATTTAATGTGCATATCTATTTCACAACAAATGCCTACGTAAGAGTATGCTGTCGCCTGCCTTTTAAAAGTTTCAGATCAGGGGAGTAGAAGTGGAAAAAAATCTACTTAAATAACGAAGTTATTTTTCTTCTCTTTTTTGTGTAAGTGCCGGAAAACAGTTCGTTTGCACGCGTTGTTCAAATGATCAGAATGCACGCCTTCAATGAGTCATAAGACTTTTAAACCAAAAAGATCACAAGCATCAATGGCAGGACTTCAAAATTATCCATATTCGGTTTGCAATAGTAATGACTCGACGCTATCGCGTACAGAAAGCATGGGTTTGATTCCTGAGTGGAAAGTACATGTATTTGTGTGTGGGTGTTTATTTTTCTTTGTTTATCTGTTTGTTTGTTTGGGTTCTTTTAAGTTTTTGGAGGGGGGATGGAGATTATGCACCCCGCTATGCCCGAGTTGGCCCTGAAAGTCAGGATCAGCTAAGTGATTTAATTTGTCTCAACAGAGGTGGGATACGGCGCGGGGGAGTAAAAATTTTACAATCATATGAAGATTCAAAATGAGTTCCTCGACACCCTTGTGATTTGCTCCTTCTTACCTATCAAACATCCATCGCCCTTATCTCTCCTCCTTATTTTTTTATGTTTGTTACTCTGTTGTATCATCTCTAATCGTCGGTACTCATAACACCTAATTGTGCTGTAAGTACGTAAAACTCTTACTAAAACTAAAAATGCCAAGCGCTCTATCTATTGAGCTCACGACTCCACTACAGGAAGGTGGACACACAGGGATCTCCAAGGCCACACGCCTAAACAAACTGAAGTAGGCTAATAGAACGTCCGGAATGTACTCAACTCCGACGGACTGGCGAGGTACCCCGACCACGCGGCGACCGAGGCCACTTTTGAGCCACTCAATCATTAATCACGTTATCGATTAGCTTTGATAGATTGGCAAAGGAGTCGTTTCTGTATTATCTCGTTCTCATTCATCAATACAAGGACACATGCACAAAAACGAAACACTTAAACTATAATAATAGAAGTGAGGGGGATCGAGAGGGTTTAACAGGAAAGCCAATTCCCCCGGTCTCAACTACTATAAATTATATGAACTTGGCTTACCGTTGATTTGAGCTCGTATGCACCTAGGTCTGTTTAAAATGGGTGATCGAACCCAGTAGTCATTCCAAACCATTTTTCATGGTATTAAGCATGTAAATATATCCAAAATAGGAAGGGGGGGGGGCGCAAAATAGGGGCCAGTTTCCAGGTTACAACCTGACAGGGGAACACAGAAAAACATTTTGGGTAGGACGGGAGCGAAGGGTGGTTCTGAAGGGGATAATTGGTTGCTTTTAAGCACAAGAGGGCTATCCCGAAAAATTCTGTTTTGAGAAAATCGAAGGTAAAGTTTTTGCCCCTTGTTCTGTTTCTTTAAAAGACAAGGAGAGTTTTCTCTATTACCAAACAAATACACACATCTATGAAACCAAACTTCTCCTGTAGGTGGGGTAATGCCCACTTTTGGTGTTGGTCAAGATTTCTGGAAACCCCCGAAATCTGGGTTAGCACGCTCGCTTTTAAAAGCGACCAATTAGTGTGAATAGAGGTTTCGTCGACTCTTGCCCTCTCGACGGTACCGAGACCATGAGCAATATTGTTAGTTCCTTTGATATTCAGTATTGCTTCTCTTAAGACTTCTCAGCATTAGAAAACACGACGTCAAAATCAGACTATATTTTTCTGGAATATTAAGTTTGACATTTCGCTAAATGACATCGCTGTACTCTCCAGGACACCTCTCCGTTAACTAGGTCACCTACATAAGAAATGGAGCCCCCGAAAACTGTAGGCTAAGTTCACCGTGGTTATGGCTTTTAGCTCATTGACATTATATGAGCCGATAGTACATACACACAAAACAGTCTTAGTCCGTACGTGCATTCGCCAACTCGATTCATTGTATGTGATGTTTAAGACTCAGTGCCAAATAGTTTCTTTTCTTCTTTCTTCTTGATATTTTTCTTCTTTTTTCTTAGGGGGTGGGGGTAGCAAAGAGACACAGTGCCATTGTTCCCAATACAAGAGCTGTGTGTTATCTAGAAGCAATCGCCAGTCTGTGCCGTGATAATATAATGATCGTAATGGCTTAAACGCCAACTAAATCATAAACAAGAGCCCAGTTTATAACAAGTCTGCATAGATTATAAGTACTCTAGGGCAGCCAATATTTTTACGCATAAAAGGAAGCTTAAAGTGCCTTATGAATGCGCCGAACAGGTAGGCATAAAGGAGAGAGGGTCGTGTAGTTGGTTACACTGAGATCATTAGGGAGAACCCGTGTTTGGTCCACTTTAGAATCACGCCCTATAACAATATCGATACTTCCAACAATATTATATACTCTGATTACAGCAAGATAGTATCCTGTAAACAGAATGGCATTTAATTTATTATTGGAAGTATCATCTTCTGTGATATAGGGGGGTGATCATTAACGGGAGGACCAGTGTATCAAAGGGAGAAGGTGGGGGGGG